AAAAAAAAAATTTTCGTTTCTCTGTCTATCACCCCCACCCCACCCCTTCCTCTCCTCTCATTTCTTTTTCTTTTTCTTTTTCTTATTCTTTTGCTGCTGCTTCTGTTACACTACCACAGATGTCAGAATCCTTCAGCAGCGCCGTCCGCCTGGGGGCGCTCGATGACTATCTAACCCCAGCACAGGAATGTGTATTACCTCTGCTGCATGCGGCGCCAGAGAAAAACACAACAGACACAGAACCTGCTGCTGCTGCTGCTGCTGCTGCTCTTTCTGTTGGTACCCGACAGAGGCCAGCAACAGCAGCGGGGCGCCGGAGGGCCCAACGGCGAACAGCAGCATCAGACGCTGCTGCGCCAGCAGCAGCTGCTGCAGCAGCAGCAGCAGCAGCACCTGCAGCAACAGCAAAAGCAGCGAATGCAACAGCAGCAGAAAACCCGGTTGCTGTATCTGCTTCAGTGCCGCATGATGAGGTGAAGCCCCTAAGAGAAGCCGTATCCTCCAAGCCAATAGCCTCACCACCAGCAGCAGCAGCACCACCAGCAGCAGCAGCAGCAGCACCAGCAGCAGCAGCAGCAGCAGCAGCAGCAGCAGCAGCAGCAGAAGGCCTGATTCCTGTGGGGAAAATATCGCTGTCGGACTGTCTGAGCTGCAGCGGCTGCGTGACGTCTTCTGAAGGAATTTTGTTGAGCCGTCAATCGACGGATCAGTTGCTTTCTCTTTTGGCTCGCAAACGCAGCTGGGGTGTACGTACACCTCACGGTGTACATACACCCCAGGGTGTACATACACCTCAGGCTGTACATACAGCTCAGGCTGTACATACACCCCAGGGTGTACAGGCAGCTCAGGGTGTACAGGCAGCTCAGGGTGTACATACAGCTCAGGGTGTACAGACAGCTGAGGGTGTGGGGCTTTCACCGTTTGAGGGTGTTGGTCCTCGTGTGGTGGTGGTGTCTCTGAGTTCTCAGTCTATTGCAGCAGCAGCGCAGCAGTTTGGTTGTTCTGCTGCTGCTGCTGCTGGGCGCTTATCTTACCTCTTTCGGTGCCTGGGGGCTGACTTTGTCTTCTCTATGACAGCAGCAGAAGCCCTCGCTCTCTTAGAAACCCAAAAAGAGTTTATAGGCAGGCTCAGAAAACACCAACAAAACATGCAAACACAAACTGCAGCAGCAGCAGCAGCAGCAGCAGCAGCAGCAGAGGGACAAGCAGCTGCAGCACAAAAAGATCCAGGGGATCCTGCTGCTGCTGCTCCTGCTGCTGCTGCTGCTGTAAATCCTCCTGCTGCTGCTGATGCTGCAAACAAACTACAACCAGAAACACCACAGCAAGCAGCAGAAGCAACAGAAGCAGCAGCAGCAGCAGCAGCAACAGCACCACCACCACCCCGAGCAGGAGCAGCACCCGTATCAGCAGCCCAACCAGCCGCCGCCGCCGCCGCCGCCGCAGCAGCAGCAGCAGCAGCAGCAGCAGGAGTGTGTGGATATAATATAATAGATAAAACGTTGATGAGTTCAGGTCCCNTTTTGTCCTGGTGTTATATTATATGCAGAAAAAAGTATAGAGCCCTCACTCTTATCTTTTTTTTCGTGTGTACGCAGCGCGCAGCAGCTGCAGGGTATTCTATGTAAAGCAGCAGTACGTGCTGCTGTTGATGCCTCTTCTTTCTTACTCGCTATCAAAACGCATGCATGGCCTGGACATACTACACAGCCTCCTCCTGCTGCTGGTGCTGCTGCTGCTGCTGGGGATACTGCTGCTGCTGCTGCTGCTGCTGCTGCTGCAGGAGGTGCTGCTGCTGCAGGGGTTGTTGATGATGGCAGCAAAAAGGCAGAGAGGAGAGATAAGGGGTGTGCCCCCTGGGATCTCCTTCGACTGCTGCTGCAGCACTCACCGTATACGTGCTACGCAGAAGCAGCAGCAGCAGCAGCAGCAACAGCAGCAGCAGCAGCTGGAAAAACTACAGCACCTCAAGGAGCAGCATCTAAAGCAGATGCAGCAGAAGCAAACGCAGCAGCAGCAGCAGCAACAGCAGCAGCAGCAGCAGCCAGGCTTGGCCGCTGTGGGGGGTTGGCCCCTGAGGATATTCTGCACGTCTGCTTGATGCCTTGCTACGACAAGAAGCTGGAGGCCGCTCGCCCGGACTTTGAACACAGAGAGAAGCAGCAGCAGCAGCAGCAGCAGCAGCAGCAGCAGCAGCAGCAGCAGCAGCAGCAGCAGCAGCAGCAGCAGGAGTATGGGTGTGATGGTTTTTCTTTTGCTTCTTCACGCTTAGCTTTTGGTGGTAGTGAGGGGGGATGGGCTGAGGTAGATATTGTACTAACAACGTCTGAGCTGCCGCTGCTGCTGCAGGCAGCGGGGCGGGCCTTCAGCTGTCTCCCTGCTGCACCCCTGGACTCTCTGCTGCCCCCCAATGCACTCAGGCTAGCAGCGCGTAGTTTGTATCAAGCAGCAGCTGCAGCAGAAGCAGCAGCAGCAGCAGCAGCAGCAGCAGCAACGGCAGCACCGGAAGGAGAAGCAACAGAGGGAGGCTGTAGAAATGCGGGTGCTTCTGACAGTGCTGCTGCAGCAGCTGCAGCAGCAGAAGCAGCAGCAGCAGCAGCAGCAGCAGCAAATGAAGGTGCCCAGGAGGGTGTGAAGCTGCCTATGGCGTCGCTTCGTGCTGCTGCATTAGCAGCACCAATATTATATTCTTTATCTGCGGTAGCTTCCTCTTTATATTCATACAAAAGCAAAGAAGAAGCAGAAACAGGGGAGTTGATGGGGTGTATGTACACCTCACGCCCAACACCTACTCTTGCAGGCAGCGGGGGGTATCTTGAGTTTCTCTTTATGCAGACAGCGCGGGGCCTCTATAACAAACAAACAGCAGCAACCGGCCTCCCTCAGTTTATTAAGGGGCCAAATGAAGAGATCCAGGCCATCGCGCTCTTCCCTACAACTACTGATGCTTCACCCACTGCTGCTGCTGCTGCTGCTGCTGCTGCTGCAGCTGCTGCTGCTGCTGCTGCTGATGGTTGTGGTGGTGGTGGTGGTGATGTTGCTGCTGCGCCGGACGGGCGTAGCAGTAGTCTGAAGGAAGGAACCAGCAGCAGCAGCAGCAGCAACAGCAGCAGCAACAGCAGCAGCAGCAGCAGCAACAGCTTCGGGGGGAGCCGCAGCAGACGACGGGGGCTGTGGAACGACAGCAAGCCGGCGCTGCTGCGGGGGGCATTTGCCTTTGGCTTCAGAAATATACAAAACATCGTGCAGCTGCTGCGGCAGCTGATTCCTCCTGCTGCTGCTCCTGCTGCTGCTGCTGCTGCTGCTGCTGCTGCTGCTGGTGCTGCTGCTGGTGCAGAAGCAGATTCTCGCCACCCCGCACTCACCAGCAGCAACACCAACAGCAACAACAACAACAACAACAACAACAGCAGCAGCAGCAGCAGCAGCAGCAGCAGCAGCTGGAGGAACCGGGTTGAGGGGGGCACGGCTAGGCCTGAGGATATTGGGGGCCTCATACCGCATATAATTGAAATAGGGGCTTGCCCAGGGGGCTGTCTCAATGGGGGGGGTCAGTCGATTGCCTCCGCAGAAGAAACAGCAGCAGCAGGCGCGTTGCTGCGTCCTGCTGCTGCTCCTGCTGCTGCTGCTCCTGCTGCTGCTGTGGGTGCTGGTGCTGCTGGTTGTGGTGCTGCTGGAGAGGCGTCTGTTGGGGGGGGAGAAAGGCGAGTGGGGTGGGGGCAGCAGAAGACAACACCAGCAGCAGCAGCAGCAGCGGCAGCAGCAGCAGCTGAGCCGGTGGTAGTAGGGAGGAAGAGAGAACCGCTGCACAGCGTCACGCGGCTGATGCATTCAGACTTCCCTCTTGTCTCTCCTCAGCAGCATCCACTTATACTACCAGTTTATTTATTTCTTTTTAGTTGCTGCTACGGTGTAGAGAACGGCATAGAAGCTGCTGCTGCTCTGGGTGAGCTCGAAGCTGCGCTGCAGCAGCAAGGAGCCAAAGAGGAGCTGCAGCAGCTGCTGTGTATAGACACTGCAGCACCACCGCTGCCCCTTCATGTACTGCTCGCGCCGAGGGTTACTGCGGCGCTCCGCACCCGTTTCACACCAAAAAAGAAAACTAACAAAAAAGGAAACAATGCAGCTCTCATCACCGTCTCAGACCTCAAGTGGTGACCCACACAGTCCTCAGCACTGAGATCCTCTTGCTGCTGCTGCTGCACCTGCTGCAGCTGCTGCAGCTTGTGCAGCTGGTGCAGCTGCTGCACCTGCTGCACCTGCTGCACCTGCTGCAGCTGCTGCAGCTTGTGCAGCTGCTGCAGTTTGTGCAGCTGCTGCAGCCTGTGCGGCTGCGGCAGCTTGTGCAGCTGTTGCAGCTTGTGCAGCTGCTGCAGCTGCTGCAGCCTGTGCAGCTGCTGCAGCTTGTGCAGCTGCTGCAGCTTGTGCAGCTGCTGCAGCTTGTGCAGCTGCTGCAGCTGTTGCAACTGCTGCAACTACTGCGGCAGCAGAAGGCAAGCGACGGTGGGCTTCGGTGACAATGTAGTTTATGCCGAGGCCCAAGCGCCGCAGTTGAATTTTGATAGGAAATGTTGAGCCTGCGAGAGCAGCAGCAGTTGCAGCAGCAACGCCTGCAGCTGCTTCCTCTTAGCTGAATGAGGCGCTTGCTGCTGTTGCGGCGGGGCCATTGATTTGAATACCCGTGCTATAGACGGGCAGCTGGAGAGACAATGGTTTATGTTTATGGTGTAAATGCTCCTTTTCAGCTACAAAGACTGTACTATAAGCAAAAGGCAATACGTAGTGGTGCGTATACACTGCACGCCCCCTTTCCTTGCGCTACAGCAACACCATCGTTTCCTCTGTAGCTTTTTTTTTTTAGCTTTTCACAAACTACCACACTCTATAGTGTACTAGGTAAGAGATTCTAGAGTGTGTT